CTTTATTAGCACTCTCATCCTGTATTTCTGTATAATGCATAAACACATAAAATTTACATTTGACATTGTACATGCATAAGTGTTAACACATGTATTGGTATATGTATGAATACATAAAAATATATACATATTAATACACTTTAAACTTGTGTACGAATAGGGTCCCATGCCCGCTCTAAATTCTTGATATATTTGGTATAGTATTATTTTCTAGCATGTCTACCTTTTTATAATTAATTAACTAATTAATGAAGTGGAGGTGGGAGAGTCACAGCGCATGTGTGAGAGTCAGAGGACAGCTTTCAGGAGTTCTCTCTTCCCACTTAGTGGATTCCAAGGACAAATCTCCGGTCATCAAGGATGGCAGCAGTCTCCTTTACCCACTGAGCCATCTCTCCAGCTTTTTTTTTTACCTTATCAATCAATAATTCTGTCAGATTTTTCTCTAGCAATGGTCTAATGCAGATTAGACATTTTAAAGGATAAATAATATGTTATAACAAGTCCATGCCTCTTCAATTTTTGATGATCTTTCATATTCTTTCTATTAATTTATTAAGTCACTGCTGTAAAAATATTGAGCTGTTATTAAGTTCAAACTGTGGTTTTTGGCTGGAACTTTGTTCCCTAGTGGACATGGAGCAATGTCTGGAGACATTTTTGTTGTCCCATAGGAGTGAAGTCATTTCAGGTGTGAAAGGACACCAACCCCCTCCACACACCTACAAAGAAGGATCTGGCTCAGAATGTCAAATGAGACACTGCCAGCTAGAGAATCTGTGTGCATTCAAGATTTATAGCTGTCTACAGACTGTCTCCCTGGAGTATGGCACCAATTCACCTTTCTCTGAGAAACATTAGACTTGTCTCTCTCTGTTTAAAACTCACAGTCCCAATGAACTTAACAGTTTTTCCTAGGCTGAAGAGTGAGAAATAGATTCCTGGTTATTATCTTAGACTTTAGTGTCTTTGAACAATTATTGATAGATTTCTTCACCATTTTGATAGCCTTATTATGCCCTCATTTATCTAGTGTTATAAGTATTTAAAGATTTTTGGAAATTATTGCTTCTTATGTTGCCGAGATGGCTTAGTAGGTAAAGGTGCTTGCTACCAAGCCCGAGTTTGATTCCAAGAACCTCCTTGGTGGAAGGAGAAAACTGACTCCTGCACACATGTGACCCCCACACACTTGCTGTGGCACACATCCCATCCCCTACAAATAAATAAGGAAAGAAAGAAAGAAAGAAAGAAAGAAAGAAAGAAAGAAAGAAAGAAAGAAAGAAAAGAAAGAAATTAACAAAACCACAAAAACCAAAACCCAATTTTTACTTCTTCAAAAACTTATTTCTGGAACTGGATAGATGGGTCAGTGGTTAAAAGTGCTTGCTGCTCTGGCAGAAGACCCAAGATCAGTTCTGAGCATCCATTTTGGGTGACTCACAACCTCTGTAACTATAGATCCAGAGGCTAGAAGAGGGCTTCTCTTCTAGACTCTGGGCACTGAACTCATGTGTGCAAACCCACACACAGACACACAAATATAGACACAATTAAAACAAAAACTTATTCCTGAGTTTCTTGCCTTAACATGGTTTTAGTCAATATGAATTTAATAAAAACTTTCTAGATGTTCATATGTAATGAATTCTGTGCTTTTAACAGAAGTCTTTCATCCCTGATAAGATGAATGAGGTAGAAAACTGCATTTTCTTCCAAATTACAATCTTTTCTAAATAAATCACATGCAACCTTGCTACATGCTAAATGTGCACACACTGAAACTTTATTTCTGATTCATTCAACAAATGATAATGAAACATAAAACATTTAAGAACATTACAAAAACTTCTGTATTATATTTTAATACTTTAAGTCCTCTTTCAAGGAATAATTAATCCATGTTGCTATCTTTAACTTGTCCCTGTTTTATATCTTGTTTCTGTTAGGATTTTTTTGTTACACTAGATATGGAACTCAGGTGTATGTAAATGCAGGGGAAGTGCCCTGATTCAGTTAGTCCTTGAGGCTCTCTCAATTTAAACAAAAAAGTGTTTATAAACAACGCTATTGAATATTATTTGATTATCTCTACATACTTTAATTACATGACTTCTCCATTTTATTGATTTTATTTCCATGTAATTGCCTATATATTTGTATACTTTTGTGAAAATACAAATGTTAATAAAGCATGTGAAGTCTCTACTAGTGTGATCTTGCATTATAATGGCATAGACTGAACACATGAAATAGATGATAAGGATATCATAACCTTAGACATAATTTATAGGAACTAAAAAGATACATTTGTTGTGAGTATGCATACTTTTGTAGAAAAATGATTACAGATTTACCCAGGGACAGTTTTTTTTTCATGTTGGATGAAGAAGAAACAGTGTGTCTACATAATTTCTTTTAAAAAGAAATGAAGGAACTGGAAAAATAGTGCAGAGTTAGAGTACTTACTTTGTATGAATGAGGCCCTGAGTTCAGTCTTTAGCTTCACAAAATCAAACAAGAATGGGATGGTACATTTTCTAAGAATTATATTTTAAAAAAGAAATGAAAATATAAGCCCCAAGAACAACAAAGAAAATATATTGCATGAGATGATCTTTGATCAATACTGGATCATACTGAAATCAACTGGTCAAGTGAGTATAGAGCAGACACAGGGAAAGCATTCTCTTGATTCATAGGAAAACATGCCCACCATGGTTGTAGCTTGTGCATCTTCTGTTGTGAATTATTGATTTACTCCCATTGGTCATTATTGTCTAGGGATCACTTTTCTAGAGGACATTTGAAACCACAAAAATGTCACTATTTATGACTTTGGATTAATGTATTTTTTCAAAGGTTTGTTTGTTTTATTTATTTTTTATTTATTATGTCTATTTTATGTGTATGAGTGTATTGCCTGCATGTATGTGGGTGCACCCATGTCGTGCAAAGCCCCAGAGGTCAGAAGAGGGCTTCAGATTCCCCTGGAACTGGAGTTAAGTATGGTTCTTAGCCGCAATGTGGGTGCTGGGAATCGAATCCGGGTCCTCTGCAAGACTGGTAAGTGCTCTTAACTGCTGAGCCATCTCTCCAGCCCCAGGTTTATTTTTAATCATGTGTATATATGTGCACTTGTGTGTGGGTATGTGCACATGTGAGTATAGGTATCCGCAGAGGCCAGAAGAGGGCATCTGAATCCCTGGGCTTGGGTTACAGGAGGTTGTGTGCTGCCTGATATGATGCTAGGAAAGCAGCAAGTGCTCTTAACTGCTGAGCCATCCCTCCAGCCCCTGGATTCATTTATTTCTGCCTATTACTTTTTCAGGGGATACAAGAGCTAGAATGTTGGTTGGAATTTTGTTAGAACCCAAAGACCTTACTCTTTTCAGTCTCTCATGCAGTTGCCTGGATCTATCGCTCATTTCACCCTTGTGTCCATTTTATTCCTGCTTATCACCCTGTTTTCACATAAATGTGTGTATGTGCTTACTTAAAGGAAACAAGAAACTTAGCAAATTTAGCCCCAAGGTCATTTGTAGAGTGGAAATTCTAGGCACTATTCTGCAGTAAGGAAAGATGACATGCCCTCACATTGTTTGTTGTAGACACTATTGGCCTAATTACTGTGGGTAGATCATAGCAATCATACCTGGCAACAAAGACTCAGATGCCATGGCAGGATAGTGGCAATGTGCACAGTCCATGGGGCCAGGCTGCCTGGAGTGATGCATTCAATGTGATTCTTATAATACAGAGTGAGAACTCAACAGTCATTCATAGTAGGCAGGGCAATCATTTCAATCATTGGATGCCTGTGCAGCAAGATTAATAAGGTGTGAATGACAGTCACCCTGTGTCTTACAGTTTCTGCCCCAGCAGGGTGGCCGCCTTATCCTTAACTCTTGGTGAAATAATCTCTCATTGCTTCCCTTTCTCTTGCCCCTCACACTGAGGCCTTGATGGCCCCAAACATTTTAAACAGGCACCTGCTTCAGGGCCTTTCCACTGGCCATTCCTTCTGACAGGTGAAAGTTTCTAAGACAATGTCCTGACTCACACATTTTCTTCTTTTCTTCTCCTCCTCACCCTCTTCCTCCTCATTATTCTAATTGTACAAAATTATAAATTTTATTATGATTCATATAAGTACATCATGTACTTTAGAAAACGTTATTTTTAACATTAATTCAGTGTTGGGGGCGTGTACAGAGGTCAGAAAACAATTTGTGGAGGTTAGTTCTCTCCTTCTACTATGTGTGTCCTTTGCATCAAACTTAGGTTGTCAGGTTGGCATTCTCTGCTTAGATCAACGTCTCTGCCAGCTGCCTTGGCATCCATAAAAATGAGCATTTCTAGGGGTTGAAGTTAAAGATTAGTGGAAAGTATGCTTAGTATGCCCATGGCTGGGGTTGCACCCCCACACTGCACATATACTTCCTATATACCCACTATTATACACATTTTTCCTTTTAGCATCCTCACTGTCTTTCATGTCATGTCAGTATTTATTTTTGAGTTTTACTGAACTATAATTAATTTTAAAAGTCCAGATGTATTTAGCACGTAGAATCTGGTTAGTTTGCATGTGAAAATACATGTTTACACATGAAATGTAATACACAGATGATTCCCTTATCTACTAACTTCTTTGTCATTTACCTGCAGAAACTTCTGGGTTCCGGTAGTCTCTTGTGCTGTGTGCTATACCTGGAACAGAGTCAGCAGTCACTGCATAGTCCTCAACTATAGGAAATAATTTCTTATTAAGTCATGCAGTGATATGCATGACCTCTAAGGGAAAAGACTTGGTGTGGGACAGGGATTCTCAGTCAGTAATGGCTTCAGAGATGCCTGACAAGGAGCCGGTCCACGGATAAAATGAACTTAATGTATTTGATATAGTATATGAATTACATCATTTTATCCTTCTCAGTGGTGTCAATTTACACAAATATTTCTCATGTCATTTTTTTTCTCATAGTGACAGGCAACACATGGAACCAGAGAACAATACAAGAATTTTAGAATTTGTTCTATTGGGCTTTTCAGAGGATCCGGACCTGCAGCCTGTTGTGTATGGCCTTTTCCTCTTCACGTACTTGATTACTGTGCTGGGGAACCTGCTCATCGTCCTGGCCATCGTCTCAGACTCCCACCTGCACACCCCCATGTACTTCTTCCTCTCCCACCTGTCCTTTGTGGATGTCTGCTTCACCTCCACCACAGTCCCAAAGATGCTGGTGAATATTCAGACGAAAAAAAGAGTCATTAGCTATGCAGGTTGCATCACTCAGATGTACTTTTTTCTGGTTTTTGTGGAGTTGGACAACTTCCTCTTGGCCGTGATGGCCTATGACCGGTTCGTGGCCATCTGCCACCCTCTGCATTACACTATCATCATGAGCCACCGGCTCTGTGGATTGCTAGTTCTGGTGTCCTGGATCATGAGTGTCTCGCATGCCTTGTTACAAAGCTTAATGGTATTGCGGCTGGCCTTCTGCACAGACTTGGAAATCCCACATTTTTTCTGTGAACTGAATCAGGTGGTCCAGCTCACCTGTTCCGACACCTTTCTTAATGATGTGGTCATGTATTTCGCCCTTGTGCTGTTGGCTACTGTTCCCCTCTCTGGCATCCTTTATTCTTATTCCAAGATAGCGTCCTCCATACGCGCAATCTCCTCAGCTCAGGGGAAGTACAAGGCGTTTTCCACTTGTGCATCTCACCTCTCTGTAGTCTCCTTGTTTTACTGCACAGGTCTTGGTGTTTACCTCAGTTCTGCTGCAACCCACAGCTCACACTCCAGTGCAACAGCTTCAGTGATGTACACTGTGGTCACACCCATGCTAAACCCTTTCATCTACAGTCTGCGGAATAAAGATGTAAAAAGAGCCCTGAAAAGGGCCTTCGGTGGGAAACTATGAGCAGTCCCTTTTACCTGGGGTGGAGAAAATAACCATTTTTTTCAGGGTCAAAACCTCAAAGTTAGAAGCTTAGATTCTGGGATCGTATGGTGGAAGTAGAATGTGTTCCTTTTATTTCCTGGTTTGCATTGCTCTGACTCCAACCTCACTATACACTGTAAGAAGCTTTTTTAAGTGTCTACTCTTTTTTTATATTCAACACATTTTTCGTCTGTTGTCCCAAATTTCCAAATATGGTCTAAACACTGGGTGAGAAATATTTGGAAATTCACATTCACATTACCATAAGCTTGCATTTTATTTTAAGAGAAAATTTATTGATTTAAGAATTTCATGCAATTAATTTTTATGATAGTCACACCTCCTCCCGTATCTACACCCTCACCCTACCAACTCTCATCTCCCATCCTCGAATTTGGTCTTCTATAAGCACATGAGAAACCCCTCTATCTACAAAACACATCTGAGCTGGGAACCAGAGAGATCATAGCTCATTAGTGTCGGATCTATAAGTCTTCTTGTTTAAAAATTTTTATTGAGCTTTTGAAATTTTATACAACAGTTCTTAATCCAATTTAGGCCCCCTCCGCAGTCCATACCCCTTCATCTCCCGACTGGATCTCACGTGTTCTGCCATACACGTTAAGTCCTACCCAGTCAAGCATTTGTACCCAGATGATGTCCTTTCCTTCAATGTAAATTTGTTTTTTGTGTTTTTTTTTTTTTTTCGGTCTTTTTGTCCTGGAACTCTCACTAGGCTGGCCTTGAACTCACAGAGATCCATCTGCCTCTGTCCCCTCCCCCCTAGAGCCCCCTAGAGTGCTGGGATGAAAGGCATGAGCCTCTATGCCAAGCTATAAATTTGTCTTCTTACACACAGGTGTGCAAAAGTAAGGCTCCACTCCCTTTCCTTTCTACGCGGTTCTGGGTCAAAACACAGTCAGGTTTCTTGGAATTGGATTTCCATTCTTAATTTCTGTTTCCCTTTCTCACTGTTTAGGGATGTCAGTAGGCATTTCTCTACCCCCTACCCCAAGTAGTCAGAAACATTTTCGTTTTCCTCATCAAAGCTAGTTATTCAGGGCCCTTGCTTCACGCGATAGCGTTACAAACTGTCATTTAGTTTATTTTATGAGATCTGTAGGCGTCTCAGATTCCTATTGCTGTTGAGGACTATAGCCAGATCTTGACAGCAACTGGGTGGTCAGCCAAGCGTGGGTGCCATCAGGGATTGAGGGTGGGCAGGCCAGCTGAACTTGCATTTCATGATACTGTGCCTTGTGCTTAATTCCTTTCAGCAGAGCGACTGGCTCTTAAAAGTAATTTTTTCCAACATGAGATATATTATGTTCAGTATTTTTTTTCATTTTACAGAAAGAAACTCTGAAAATTAAAAAGTACACCTAACAATTGTGTATGTGTGCCTTGAAGGGAAATCTGAGACCATAATTTTTCTCCTCTGCCATCGTTCTCTATACATCACTACAGCAACTGGCCTCCACATTGCAGGCTTTACTATACTGGTGTGCTTTATAATTGCTGACTGGAACCTTTAACAGTACATTAATTCAATTTTTGATTGACACATAGTCTTTGTACCTATTTATGGGCACATAATGTAGTGAGTCAAGTCAGGGTAACTAGCATGTACATCATTTTGAACATTAATAATATTTTAATGATGAAGGGCCTGGCATGGTGGCACATGTCTTTAATCGCAGCACTTGGGTGACAGAGACAGGCAGATCTTTGTGAAACTGAGGCCAGCCTGGTCTACATACCTAGTTCCAGGACAACTGGAGATAAAGGGAGACCCTGCCTCAAAAAGTAATTTTTTTAGATGATGAATATATTTAAAAGTTCTTTCTTCTGACAATTTTGATATATGCTATCATTGTTAGCCACATTCACTCTGTTACGTATTAAACACCACAACCTATTCCATCTAAGTAGAACACAATCTCTTCTTTAGGGTCTTCTGTTTCTTTCAGCATCCATGAGAAAAAGCAAAAGAGGTATGATAGCTATGTACTTCACCATTGTTTACGGGCAGATATTTTTGTTTCTAGAACAAGGCTTCCTAATCTTTTTCCACTTGAGATTCCTTTAGTCTAAGAAAATTTTGTTTTGTTTTGTTATATTTTATTTTACTTTTTAATTTTTACAAAAACTTTATTAAGAATTTCACACATACATTTATATATAAATATATATATGGTATTTTGATCAAATCCATGCCCACTCCCTCCCTTCCAACATTCCTGAAGAGGTAACCCTAAAATCTTTTAAGGATTAGATACAAACTCCTAAATACTTTTGACATTTTTGGCCTTTGGAACAGAGTATGTTGCTACCAGGCCCAAGGACATTTTGGACTTTTAGCCAAGAAACTGACTACTTTTCTTTGGGGTCTTTTTACCCTAACTGCCTAGCCAATTCCGACCTCCTATTCTTATCACACCATCCTCTGAAGGGGTTACCCAAACTGCCAATAGGGAATAGGGATTCAGACCACTCTGGCTTCTTCCATGCTGAACAGGGATGCAGGGTGAGGTAATTGGAGTACTCCTTCAGTGGGTTCATCTAAAAGACTCCCAAACTGCATAACTCTTGTCTCTAAGGGAAGAAGAAAGTCCTTGAATCATGAATAAGAGATGTGAAGAAGAAGTAAAGGTAAGAGTCATTAGCATTACAAGTTCTAGACAGAGAACTAGAAAAAAGTCAGAACAGGGCAATTTTCAAATGTTCATATGAAAGTCCATTGGAGTTTCTTGGCAAGGGCTTCCAAAAACATCCCTCTATTGGGTTTTTCTTCATTTTCTTTTGTCTTCCAGGGCTGACTAGTTGTCTGGGAAGAGTGGCTGGATACTCAGGTGAGGGTCCAGCGACCCTGCTTGGCACTCCTTTAATGAATGAGCACAACTGTCAACAAGCCCAGTTCTGATTTTGTTTGGTGATCAGGCTCAGCCGAAGTCATGATGCTGGTTGTTTCATGCAGAAGGGACTGCTGTATAGCATCATCTTTTTAAAAAGACCTGGAATTTAAAAGGATTTGGTGCTAGGAGCCACATATGAGGGAGAACATACGTCATTTGTTTTTCTGAGTCTGTGTCACTTCACTTACTATAACAGTTTCTAGATCCATCCATTTACCTGCAAATTTCATTATTTCATCTTTTTTACTGCTGAGTAAAACTCCATCGTATATATGAACCACATTTTTGTTAACCACTCATCAGTTGAGGAACACTTAGGTTGCTTCTATCTCATAGCTATTGTGAAAAGGGCAGCAACAAACATGAATGCGCAAGTGTCTCTACAATAGGATGAGTCTTTTGGGCATATGCCAAGGAGTGGTATAACTGGGTCATATGGTAGGGTCATTTTTAGTTTTTTAAGAGTTCTCACACTGTTTTTCATAGAGATTGCACAAGCTTACAATCCCACCAGCAGTGAATGAGCGTTCCTCTTTCTCCACATCCTCACCAGCATTTGGTATCCTTTGTTCTCTTGATCCTAGCCAGTCTGATTGGGGTAAGGTGATAGTGGTTTTAATTTGCATTTCCCTGATTGCTAGTAATGTTGAACACCTTTTAAGATGCTTCTTAGCCATCTTCACTTCTTCCCCTGAGAACTCCTTGTTCAGCTCCTTAGCCTATCTTTTAACTGGGTTACATCCTTTCTTGATACTTTGTTTCTTGAGTTAGTTATATATTCTGGATGTTAAACCTCTGTCAGACGTGTCACTGATGAAGATTTTTATCCATTCTATGGGTTTTCTCTTCACTTTTTTGATTGTTTCTTTTGCTGTACAGAAGAAGCTTTTTAGTTTAACGAGGTCCCACTTATTGATTGCAGACCTTAATTCCTGAGCATCTTCTGCCTGATTTAGAAAATTCTTTCCTACACCTGTATCCTGTAAGTTGCTGCCCATATTTTCTTCTAATATTTTCAGTGTTTCCAGTTTCACATTGAGGTCTTTGATCCATTTGGAGTTGACTTTTGTGCAAGGTGAAAGATAAGGATCTAGTTTCATTCTTCTACAGGTGGAGATCCAGTTTTGCCAGCACCATTTGTTGAAGATGCTGTCTTTCCTCCATTGCGTGTTCTTGGCACCTTTGCCAAATATCAGGTGGCTGAAATTGTGTGTACTCAGGTTTGGATCTTCAATGATGTTCTATTGATCTACGTGTCTGTTTTTGTGCCAATTCCATGCTGTTTTTATGACTATGGCTCTGTAGTATACTTTGAGATCTGGTATAGTAATCCCCCCAGCATTGCTCTTTGTGCTCAGGGTTGTTTTGGCTATCCCGGGTCTTTTGTGCCTCCATATGAATTTAAGGATGGGTTTTTTTCTAATTCTGTGAAGTATGTCATGGGGAATTTTAATGGGATTGCATTGAATCTATATATTGCTTTTGGTAGGATAGTTATTTTAACAATATTTATTCTTCCAATCCATGATCATGGGAGGTCCTTTCATCTCCTGGTGTCTTTCACAATCTCTTTGTTTAATGATTTAAATTTTTCATTGTAGAGATCTTTGGTGTCTTTGGTCAGATTTATTCCAAGATATTTTAATTTTTTGCAGCAATTGTGAATGGGAGCATTTCCCAGTATTCTTTCTCCAATTGCTTGTTATTGGTATGTAGAAAGGCTACTGATTTTTGTAGATTGATTTTATAACCTGCCGCTATACTGAAAGAGTTGATCAGTTATAGGAGTTTTCTGGTGGAACTTTTGGGATCTCTTAGTTATAGTATCATATCATCTGCAAAAAGTGATAGTTTGACCTCTTCTTTTCCAATTAGTACTCCTTTAATTTCCTTCTCCTGTGTTACTGCGCTAGCAAGAGGTTCAAGCACTATTAAAGAGAAGTGGAGATAGTGGACAGCCTTGTCTGATTCCTGGTTTCAATGGGATTGCTTCCAGTTTTTCTCCAATTAGAATGATGTTGGCTGTGGGTTTGTTATGTATAGCTTTAATTATGTTGAGGTATG